TATATGTTTTAGGATAACGAATTTTAATCATTTTTCTGGGTTCTCTACTCGTTCGTAGATATTTACTAGAAAATCAAATAATAAAATTTTGACTTGAAATTCAATGCGTAAATATTATCTAATGATTTTGGAAATATCTGGAAAGCCTTAGCAGTAAACAATGTTCATTTGTCGACAAAGACATTGAATTTTCAATAACAATACCGAAAATAATATTGTTTAATTGTATGGTGAATATATATGGAAATGGGTATGAATGTTCGAATCTTTTCTTTATTTATATCTACATCCTTCGTATCTGAATCAATAGGCACTTTTCGTTTTAATCAAAGTAAGATTTATTGTTATAGAAATGTTAAAAAATTGAGTTTAATTCAAAATTTAATATGTCGATCAAGGAACAACACAAGAAAAAAACAAAGAAGATATGAACATGAAACTTCGGTTTCTGATATACGATACTAGAAAATCTTATCGTTAAATGTCTGCGGCACATGAAGAGACGTTGATGAAAGAAAAATTTTTATAATTGGAAGACTGATGCTTACATAAACTAAATTAGATCATTGGAATTTTTTTTAATATTATTTTACATCTATGATTCTCTAGAATGCGGTGTGTTTTCTACCCTAAATTGAGATTATTTATTAGGAATAATTCAAAGTAAACGAGAAAAAAATATTTTTTAGAATATGCTTTATTGATGAAAAATTATTTCATAAATAGAGTCAATTCAGGAAGTTCAAATGTATGATCTGTATTAAGGAACCAATTAAATTCTGTTGATTTTAACAAACTTTCAAAATAATCATTATTTAAATACATAGAGAGAAACAAAAGAGAGGAAACCAACGATAGCCGATAGCAATCACAATCTGGTAGCTAGTAATATTTGATATTGTTACACAGTAATACGTTAATGAACACTATGAAATAGGTACAATATTTCTACCTAGTTAATCGTATGACATTTTTGACATTATTTCACGTGTCAGATCTTTGCAGTTTAGTTTTTATTAAAAAATTATTACTCGACTGCTCCATAATTTTTATGTCTATATAATTGATTTAAACCGTTTTCGATACCTCAAATAACGACATTCATCTTGACGCATATAAGTAGAATTTCCCGACACTCTAGTTGTCAGATGCCAAGAAAAATTTCCCCACAACTTATTTCTTTTCCTTGTGGAATTTCTCTTCATCGTTTTGTAACCGATTAGAGAATAAGTCAGTCATATATCATATATAAAGCTTAGAAAACTAGAGAAGCATTGTGTTATTCTTTCGTTCTATGATAGTTTGTTTTTCTTCCTCTGACTCACGTGACATTTATTTGTTATGTCCCGGTAGATTTTCCTCTTTGATATCCACGACTGCAACGAAATACAGCATGTGTAAAAGGAAAATGTAAATGTAGCAGCGTACTTCTAACCGTAATAAGCAACTGAAAATACATTCTTTGGTCAATAAAACCTAGACAAAGTAACTCTGAGTGAATGTTAGCACAACGGAGCTTGTTGACGATGCGCAAACACTAGTATATAACTAGTGTTGCGTTTAGACAAACTTGTTAGTCGTGTTCTTATTGCTTCGTCGTTTTTTCTTTTTCTTCGACCATGTTATATCCATCTGGTGTGCTGTTTTGTCAATGAGATGTAAAAAAAAAATGTTTTCATGTTCTTCTACTATTTTTCTCTTCTACATTATGCAGTAGTCTAATAGAAGTTGTACGCATTTATCTCAGTAAAAACATAGATGTCATAATACCATTATACTGGGTATCGAGAAGTAAATGTCAGGATACCCAACAGAGTAATCAACTAAAAGTGAATTCATTTATACGATGAAACTTACGCCTAGGGGTAATGACTTCCTTACTCCATAAATGAACTCTATGTTTTTAAAATTGAGAATTTTGAACGAATTTGAGGTAACGACCTCGTTACCTCAAATTCACTCAAATTTCTCAGCTTTTAAATATACAGACCTTAAGGATAATGAGGTTGTTACCCAATAACTCAACTATATATTTTAAACTTGAGGAATTCGAGTGAATTTGGTGTATTACCCCCATGGTAACGACTTCTAAACTGTAACTATATGTTATAAAGTTGAGGAATTTGAGTGAATTTGGGGTAACGAGGGTGTGGGTGTGTCGGTGTAAGTTCATGGGTGTTAGTCTTTCCCTGATTCTACCTCCAGTCACACCCACATCCACCCTCAAGTTATTACCCCTAGGGTAATACGCCAAATTCACTCCAATTCCTCAATTTCATAATATATAGTTACAGTTTAGGGGTCGTTACCATTGGAGTAATACACCAAAGTCACTCAAATTCCTCAACTTTAGAATATTTATTTAGACTTCGGAAGTCATTGCCCTTCGGGTAATACACCAAATTGACCCATGTTTCCCAAGTTTTGGTGTATAGTTATAGCTCTGGATACCAAGTTGGATACGATTCTAGGTATCGTATCGTATATGAAGATGGATATTTCTCCATTTAATACCCGGAGACTACATTAAAAGCAAATGCGGATACCGTGTGTAACGGGATTATGACACCACTCACTAAAAATGTATATTAATTGATGTTATATTAGTATTTTATAGATAATAATTTTTCTTTATTAAATGAGTGGAGAATTGGATTTTCGAGCATTGCTGCTCAAAATACAAGATCTTCTATCCGACAATGATCGACATCGTTTTCTTTTTCTTCTTGGTGAAGATGTTCCCAGATATTTGCGCGATGATCCTTCACTTAGTGGAACACTTCGTGTACTAGAGTCTCTTTTCGAAAAGGCAATAATAAGCAATCAAGATTGTGACTATCTTATTAAAGCATTCAAGAAAATACATTGTAATGATGCTGCAAAACGGCTTCAAGGTTCGTCTCTTCTATTCCTTATAAAGATTCTTATGTAACGAGCTTTTTATGTTATTTTTTTTCAGAATATCAGTTAGCATTGGAACATTTTCATCAACGAAGTTGCTCACTTCAAGATATTCTTTTATTTGACAACGACGATGAGGATAAGATGCCTACAGCTAGTTGGTATCAAGAAAAGGTCTTACTTTGTTTACGACGAAAAATTCTCTTTTAGGATTGATGCGAATCCCATCTGATCAAAAATTGGCTGGAGATCATTCAGCCTCGATGACAGATTTAAATCTCGAAAAAAAACCGCCAAGTTCATCACTACCTGTGCATAGCGAAATGGAAGAGCGCATTCATCAATCTCGATGGACCCATCGGATATCTAAACGACCATTGAACACTTGTAAATGGATTC